AAGTAGAAGATCAATACTGCAATCAGTCTTGAACCCTAATAGATTTTAGGTTAAGAAAAGTAGAAGAAAAGTGAGAGGAAGGAGGAGGAAGAGAAGAGAAACAGGAGAACACAAGGGTTTGAAAGGAGGGACAGATTCTAATGCATCTGCTGCCACCACTCTCTTAGTATTTATAGGTTATGTTCAGTACATAGAGAAAAGGACAGATCTGCTCTTCGTACTTACATGACAAATAAAGTAAATAAAAAACTGAAATAAATAACAACTGAAATAACAAACTGACCCCAACTGACACTACTATGACTGAAACAAATAATTACACATGCTGTCCTACGAACACAGTGGGGACCACTGCTGTGGGGCCCACATCAGTGTTCTCTACACCTAGAGAAGTAAAAGGTAGTTAGTGGTTACTAGATCTTCAGCTGAAGCAGAGTATAGGGCTATGGCCCATGGAGTTTCTGAGTTGTTTTCGCTTAGATCTCTCCTTGATGAGATGGGTATCTCGTGTGATAAGCCTCTGATGTTATATTGTGATAACCAGATTGCTATTAACATTGCCCACAACCCGATTTTCAGCACGATAGAACTAAGCGCATTGAAGTAGACAAACACTTCATATGGGCAAGAGTGGTCTTAGGGGAGGTGTACCTTCTTTTCATTACATCAGAAGAGCAACTAGCAGTTTTTTTTTTTTTTTCGACTAAGGGAGTTTTAAAAGTAAAGCTGCAATATTATGTAAGCAAGCTTGGTATGATTGACATCTATGCTTAACTTAAGGGGGAGTGTAGTGAGAATGGGCCGAATGAGCCTTAGTTCCTTTCTTTATTTAAGTTATGTTTATGCTTATGTTCTTTTAAGCAGTGGGCCTTAGTTATGGGCCTGTTTTTTGTTTTTTATTATTTTTGGCTGCCCTATTAAGGGCATTCATGGAACTGTACTCAGATTAGAATTAAAGAAATAAAAGATATCTTTTGGGGGCTGGAGAGAGGTATCAAACTCTTCTCTTCTCTCTTCCCTTCTCTTCTCTCATCTTCTTCCACAAACTTCTGTTGAAACTTCTCTTTCCTTCTTTCTTTTCTTTTCTTTTCTGAATTTTCTGAATTATTACAAGTGTGTTCTGCAACTGAGTAGTCAAGGCAATCCAGGACCTTCAAGTGTAGGAGGGATCTTGAGGGATAAGGATAGCAACATTCTGTCCTTATTTTCAGATTCAATGGGAATTGATGACTCTACAAGGGCTGAGATACCCGCTGCTGTACAAGGAGTACAGATTGCAAACCAACTTGGAGTGGGGAATTTGATAGTTGAGGGAGACTCTAACGTGGTAATGGGTTGGTTGTCAGATCCGGAAACAGTTATATGGGGCTACAGGGATCTTCTTAAAAAGTTAAATGGCTTACAAGAATATGTTATTCAGATTTCAGTGGGTTACCAGATCAGATCCATTGGCAGATTCTTTGGCTAAACAAGGGGCTTCTTGGGTTTCTTTGTATTGGGCTACCTTATAACTGTATTCTGCTAAGAGTTTGGTTTGATCTCATTCCTAGGAGTAGGTAACATCTCGTTCCTCCTCTTAGGGTGATTGTATACTTTCTTACTCTTCTTAATAAAATCATCATTCATTCATCAATATATATATACCATTGAGATAGTTGCATATGCCATTTGCTAAGAAACATAAATACATACATCCTGAAGGCTCTGCTTCTCCAGAAGTTTGGAACCTAAATTGGCATTCAGTTGCAGTTCCTGCTATTAGGCAGTTGATGCCTAAAACCTTAAATTCTTGCGTCAAAAAATGTCAAACCACCTTATTTCCATTCAGGTCTTAAAATAATTATGATATATTGTAGCTAACACACCCCTATTTACATGATTATATACTAGCTTAGTCCATTTCCTTGCTGCAGGTAGGTATATTGCTATAGGTTACAGTAGGTAAACCTCACAAAACCTAGGCAGCACCTTGATAACTATGTTTTCATGATTTAATGTGAAAATATTTTGAGAAATAAAGAAATGACATGGTGGGGGCTTTATATTTCAAGACCAAGTAACCTTCTAGCTACATCTATTCTTATCTGAGTTTAGTCTATCAAGCTTTAGAGTAGAATTCCTACTCATTTCTGCTTGTTATTGATGGTTTTGATGAGAGAGTTCACTTTATGCTTTAAGAGTTACACTGTCACTTTGTTGACTATATCATTTGATTTGTATTATCCTGGTTCCTTTTTTGGGTTTATGTAATTTCTGTAACTGTTCATATGATCTCAGAGAGGTATAAAGCCATGGATACTTCTGATATTGTTGAAGAGGATGAAGAAGCTTTCTTAAAGGGTTCTTCCCCTGTCTTAGTTGCCATGAAACATGGAAGTCTTACTCAAGATGATAATGCACTGGCAATGGATGGTGATATAGAATCAGCAATTTTTGGTAGCTGGCAAGGGGTTGATATTAGAGCTACACAGGTTGATGTACAAAGGAAAGACTTGTGTCTTAGTGCTGAGCCAATGAAAGAGGACAGATCTTTAGATCTTTATGCTGGACAGAAATCGCCATCCTATCCTAAATTTTACCCTCTTGATCAACAAGATTGGGAAGATGGAATTATTTGGGACAATTCACCCACCAAGAGTTATGACTCCTCAGAGAGTTGTATAATGTCTGGACCAGGCTCTGAGACATTTTACACTGCTGAAATAGAATTGGAGGCTAGGCCACAAAACGTGGTATTGCAGCAACAGATAGAGCCTGATGAGAAGGAACATAATCTTTTCTTGCATAACTTTCCTGTGTCAGTGGAGCCCTTTGGTTCAACAGAATTTTCAGAGCAGACAAACCATCCATTCACAGATAAAAAAAATCATCCCCAGTTATTGAGGTTAGAATCTCGTGTGAAAGTGGACAGCTCAAATTACTCGGGAGTAAGAAAGGAGAGCAATAATGGAGAATTTCGCCAACTTGACATAATTAAACGCTTGGGAAGACTTACCTTGCAGAATAGGGAGATGTTGGAGGGTTCTTGGTTAGACAATATTATCTGGGAACCAAAGGAGTCCATATCAAAACCAAAACTAATTCTTGATCTTCAAGATGAGCTGATGCTTTTTGAAATTTTAGATAACAAGGAAGGTAGACATCTTTGCTTTCATGCTGGGGCTATGATAGTTACTTGGTCTGTGAAGTCCAGTGGTGGGGATTCATTTGATCTACCTGGTCAAGGGGGGCCATCTGCTGGCCAGTTCAATATTTCTAATGACAAGTATTATTCAAACAGGAAAACCCCTCAGCAATTAAAATCACATTCTAAAAAACGTGCAGCTCATGGGATCAAGGTCATGCATTCAATACCTGCCCTGAAGTTGCAGACAATGAAACCAAAGTTGAGCAAGTAAGATTCAACTCTATTCCTTACCTTTCCGTGGTTTTTTTTTTTTTTTTGTTTATATGTTTATGTTTTTGCATTTTTTAACTAAGCGACACTTGCACAATATTGAAACAAGTAATAACCTACCTTTATTTTGGTGAATGTTGTGGAAAGATAACTTCTTTTTTCACTGTTTACCTTTCAACAAAAAAAACTTGTTCAGTTTTATGTATTTCAAAATGAAGTAGGATGAAAACTTTCTTATATGAGTATAAATGCATCTAAACTGGCTTTCATGTTTTAGATGTCATTGCTGGAAACAAATAATTGACAATATCTAACAGGTTTTCCAAGTTGTAAATTGTAAATGGGGCCCTAACTTGGGTGAGCCCACCCCAACCCAAGCTTTTGCACTAGTTAGGTATGAGTTTTCAGGTTTTGGGCTTGTACTTGGGCCTGACCTGAACTCGTGTTGGGCTTGGTTTAGTCCTTGGGGTAGCCCAAGCCCAACCTGCCTGATATTATATAATTTACACACTCATGTATATGTGTCATCATCATCATCATCATATCCTGACTATATGGCTTGGCTACATGAATCCTGTTTTGCCAATCTGTTCTATTTAATGCTATATCCATTGTCAAATTGTTAGTGCTTAAATAATTTCTTACTACTTCTACCTGTCCTTTTTGGTCTACCCATAGCCCTTTTAGCCCCTCCAACTTGTAACCAAGGTTCAAAGTATCGATACGCCCCTGTGTATCGGCAGGGGCATATTGGTACTAAAAACTCACCGCTTAATTATTTTTTTTGAGTTTTTTTTTTCAAAATTTGATTTTAGGAGATGTTTTTTAAGTGATTTTTAATAAATGGGGTCTCGAAACACCTGTAAAGGTGTATTGAGACCAAAAGTTACGATATGATACGCCCGAACCGTATCAATACTTTGAACCTTGCTTGAAACAAATTACTTCTTCCAACTAGTGCTGTTGCTTAGGGGTGATCATGTGCTGGGTTTAGCACCATTTATAAGGGCTTCAGCCTAGGGCCAGGCTTATGGGCTTTTTGGGTCTAATGAAAAATTTTAATTGTTTAGAAAATTTTAAATTAAATAGTATATTAATACATGAAAGAAAATATTGCACAAGTCCAAGCAAAGTTGGGCTTAGCTAAGCTTTGGTGGCCTATTGCACAAAAAATAAGGAATCAGCCTCATTTAATTCCTAGACTTAGTTTGGCTTGGCTTGCCTATCCTTTTATAGATAAAGGCAAGGGCCTTCATTCCCATTCTTGAACAATGTGGGGCTTGGAACAATGCTCAATAGTGAGGGTTACCATTGAGTGTTTTCCCAAGTCCCACATTGCTTAGGAGTGAGAATGAAGGCTTTGCCTAGGACAATTCTCATACTTGAGTTGATTCTTGTGTTGGCACATGTGTAGACATGTGTCTACTCATGAACATTTATTTACATGTTAAAAGTTCTATGTTTTATATAAAATAATAATAAACATTTAATATAAAACAAAATATATTTTCATACATATTACATATAATATATTATAATATTAAATTTTATGTATAATATTTTACATATATGAAACCTAGGCCCACCCCAGAAATTTGCGGGCTGGGCCAAGAATGACCACTCCTACTGTTGATGGCCTTCTATGCATGTGATCAAACCGTCTTAGTCTACTTTCTCTCATTTTATCACCTATTTGGGCTACTCCTAGGTTCCTATGGATGACTTCATGTATGTGTACACTGTGTATTTATGATAATGTACATATCTATGTATATTACATATTTATAATATCATATACACCCTAGAATATATTTAGTTATTTATAATATGTGTATGATAAATCTAAACTCACACCCACACACAAACATGTTCAGATACAAACATACATAACGTGTAATGGTGTTTGCACATTCTTTTTGATCTATTCTGCTCCTAATTTGGGCTATAAGCCCGATAAAAGGTGAATATGCAAGTAAATTTATCCAGAAGAAAAATGAACTTTGGGCCAGCACCAAGGCATGAGGTGGCAATGGCACCAATACAAATACAAATGAAATCATAACAGCCAACAGAAATACAAAGGAAGGGGTATGTTGCTCCTTCATGCAACCCTAGGATTGGACCTTTACCAAGACATCACTTAAGGATTCTCTGGCTTAACATTTTGTAAGTGCCTTAACTGTAGATATAATTGGATTTCACCAAATCTTACCAGTTGAAGACTTTTTGTAGCCCTACTGTTATAATGAGCTAAGTGGGAGAATACTAGTACTAGTAATAATGACAAGGATTATAAGGTTAAGGTGAAGAGGCAACATCTTCAAAGATGGGAAAAAAACAAACCAAAATCCGCACCTAAAACATCAACAGATTTTCCAAAGTTGATAAAAAATCTGAACTAGACATTCCTTTGTCAGCATCCTCAAACTCTGGATGTACTTCCAATTATCATAAATCTATCAAATATAAATTTTCTATTGGAATGATGTTTTCATTAAAAAATAATTGTTCCTTTTTGGTTTTCAAAATATTCATTTGGTGCATTACCCTTGTGTGTACATTTTTTGAGATGTAAATCTGTCCTTCGAATCTGATGATTAAATTCTAATTACAGCAGTAAAAGAAAGAAAAAAAAGGTGATTACAGCAGAAAAGAAGAGAAAGGAGGAGAGAGTTAGATGATTTTCTCTCCTCTCTCACTAATCTTTTATTTAATCTAGCTTAACTGAGTTCAGTTACATATCTGCCCTTAAGTGGGTGGTCAGCTCATCAATCACTTAAAAGAAACAAAAAAGAAGTTAACAGGCCCATCATGAAAAAGGCCCATTAACAAATAAAACATAAACAAGACATTACTTAATAAACAACAAGTACTGGGGCCCATTCGGCCCAGTCTCTCTACATTTTGGAAGTAGGTAAAGTAAAAATTATTCAGAAGCAAAAAGGCAAACAGTACGGCAGATCTTCAGGGACTCTTGTGTATATTTTCAAAACATTCATTTGGTGCATTACCCTTGTGTGTACATTTTTTTTGGAAGTAGGTAAAGTAAAAGTTATTTAGAAGCAAAAAGGCAAACAGTATGACAGATCTTCAGCGACCCACCCTACAGCCAGGTGGAAACCCCAAAGATACACAACCAGTTTTTTTTTTATCAATAACAAATAACAATTTCATTAAAATATGATTAAAGAGAGAGTCAGAAAAGGGGAGATAAGCTCTCTTATCTCACACAAAGAGAAAACTACCAAAAAAACATGTAACAATTACAAATGAGCCCAAAAATGAGAATCCCTTTTCACCCCTTGTTTAGCTAAACCATCAGCAAAAGAGTTGGCACTTTGTTTAACCCATGAAAGTTTTATATCCATGTCAAATTACAATCAAAGACCCCACAATCAACAAACTTGAGAAGCTGCATAGTTGGCTAATGGGAGAACTCCTTAGAAACAGAAGTCCAGGACCTCAATATACCAATTGATAAATTGATTAGCTCCTTTTTAGACCTGCTGTGTTGTTGATTCTCCTATTTCTTTCAGACCATAGAGTCCATGAGACAGCTGCTGGTACCAGTGCCAAACTAGCTGTCCTCTTCTGCTCAGCCCCTGAAGTGAACAGGTCAGCAGCAGCTCTTTCAAAGATTTAGGTGAACCCAGCTTAGATTAACAGCTCTGATAAAATGCAATCTTAGCCTTAAGACTAATCTTTTAGAGAATTTATGGAGCACTCTTGATTTGCATCCTTGTAATAGTGATTCATTTTCAGTTTGATTTCTGATATGTAGTTGGTTTGTTAACTTGACAACCATTATTTATGAGATGTACTGCCTTTTTTCAGTTTAATGAAATTTTCTTTTTTATCCTTCAAAAAAAATATTGCAATGGATAAACAGATGAGCATCACTCTCCGTTTACTGCCTACACTTCACATGTAGAGAACACTGATGTGGTCCCCACTGTGTTCGTATGGCAGCATTATTTCTGTTAGTTATGACAGTGTTAGTTGGTAGTTATTTCAGCTTTATTATTAGTTTATTTGCCATGTAAGCAATAAGGGCAATTCATCCCTTTTACAATTAGTCAACATATATAAATATTAAGAGTGGGTCGGCTGATGTTAAGATCAACCCTCTCTCTTTTCCAAGATCTCTTCGTGTGCTTCTTCTCTTCTCTTCTCTCCTCTATTCTTCTTCTCTTCAATTTCTTCATCTTTTTTCTTTTAAATTCAAGACAGATTGTAGTCTTGATCGACTACTTGGTATTAGAGCTGACCTAGGAGCTCTTATGTTAGTCTAATTAGATTGACTACATGAGAATCTCCTAGGTTTAGAAGTTTTTCAACAAAGAAGGAGGATCGACTGATTTTTAGAGGTTACTGGTAGTGTGCGGCTGCTACTAAGAAGATTGTAGAAGGCTGGGAGAGTTCCAGTAGTCAGGAAGAATCAGAAAGGGCTTCGGATCCTCAAGATTAGGGTTTTGCATCAGACAGAAGGTGGCGACCAGAGATTTTTTCATAAAGTAAGCTTTTTCCTTGAGAATAACTTTGAAAAAAACCATCTTGGTTTATTCTGAGAGGTGCGGCTGGAAATCTGTGTTTTTCTATGTTTTTTCTTTAGGGTTTTGAGAGAAAACCCTAAAATTCAGAACTGTTGTTGGTTTCAGATCAGATTTTGAACTGGTTTCATTCGGAATTTTGTTTTCTATGTTCTTTGGAAGACCTAGGCCGGCTGTTATCAGTTGTTTGGGTGCTGTTTTTCCTATTACAATAGTTAAAAAAAAGGTTTTTTATTAATTCTTGATCAAGAATGGAGTTCAAGAATCAGGGGGAAGGTGTTTTTGGGACTAGCAATTCTGGTAACATGTTTGAGAATGCCTTTCAGATTACAACTGTGAAGTTTGATGGATCAAACTACTTAGAATGGGCTCAATCGGCCATGATGGCTATTGGGAGTAGAGGAAAACCGAGCTACTTGTTGAGAGATGTGTGTAGAGAAGATGGGC